AATATTTCATATTTATTACTTCAAAAAGAGTTACAATAGTTGACCTAGACTATTACATTGACAAAAATGCTTAGCCCTGAAAACCCGGGCGTTACAATGAGCTTCAGAAGAGAGTGAATGTGCCTAACCAGGAGAATATAGAGCTCGTCATTCAAGTCAAAGATCTTTTAAGCGAGAATGCAAATATGAAAATTCAAGTTTTTGATCTTCAGGATATTCGGGCAACAAAGACAAAGCAAATCTCTGAGCTTCAAGCTCATTTTAATCTCCTGACCTCTAGTTATTTTGATTTAAAGAAGAAGTTTGAAGAAGATCTTGGTGCCAAATATAAAACATCTGTAGATGAGTACAGGATCAATCTCATATTCAAGCTCATCCTGTTGTCGTGCCAACCGTTCAAACTTCACGGGTCGTAGATCATTTTGAAGAAGAGCCTGATCATGCTCCACATGTTGCAGAAATTATATGTGATAGACAAGCTAAAGTTTCTCAAAAAGGACAACTCTTGTTTAAGAGGAGTTCTGATAAAAATGCACCAGGGAATCAATCAGCAATCACTGTTACAGATCTTGAGGCTGTACGCTTTAAAGATACGTATGGTGATCGGTCAGGGATCATTTCTTGGGGATTTCATGATACCCTAAACATGTGGATAATGCGGAGAAAGAGTGGCAACACGCAGTTCTACAAAGATTGTCATGATTTCAATTCGTGGACCAGGGTGGATCTTTCAGAGTTATCCCAATCTCCTTTTGCAAACCCCTCAGATAATCAACAGGCAACTCAGTTCAAGCATTTTCTAGAAGATCAAGTGAAAAAAGGTTTTCCTTCAATAAAGACTGTTGAGTCTGTCATAACGCATTATCCTGATGTCATAGATCCCAAAACTGGTCATCCACTTCAGGTGGTGATGTAGCCTGCAACCAATCAGGTCAAACAAATCCTTGTGCTTTAAAGTTACCCAGATGGATCCTTAAGCTCCATGCTTTATTGGGTATTCGATGAAACTACAACGTCTGTTATTATCAAACTCAAAGATGGATGCATCCGTCTGTATGATCGAAGGATTTGTTCCAGTTCAGGAAATGGGACATTCATCACTTGAGCCTTCATCAAATTAAAGTTGCTGAGGAGATTTTTGAGGAAGCCGCGAAGGAATATACGTCCATGGTTGCTGAGATCATCAATAAACGCATGTGGAATGGGGCAATGGGGCAGGAAGATGTAATGGTGATTGACAATGATTAACTTCAAGCTAGCACCAAACCAAGGGGAAGATTGAAGGGTCTAATTAATGGTTTGGTCTAGGCTTTCGTTGTAATAGGTTCTTTTTGGTATAAATGCAGTTTTGGTAGCTTGTTTTGTAGTTTACGACCAGAGTATGAGTTTACGGTTTTAAGCTGTTTACAACCCTAAACCCAAGTCGGCCCAGGTCACTATATATAGAGGTATTGTAGGTCACTTAATGGTTGTTGATGCCATAAAGTTCATAGTTATTGTAAACGAGTTGTACCAGATGTTTTTCGTTAATAGAAGCGTGTGCAAGCTTGTTCTGATTTCTGTTTCTACTTCATTCTCATTATTATTGATTGTTTTGTTTGCTTGATCACTGGTAAGATCCGTTTCAGGACCTTACAACTTGTCATTCCATCAAAGTACTTTGTTATAATGTGTTTTAACTGCTTTCCATCAAAGTACATCATTTCTTTTTCTGGATTAATGGTATGTAATATCTTTCCCTATTTATTTGAAAAGTTGCAGAAAAGTAATTAATCGATTTACATGTAATTTGTGACAAAAAAAATGAACTATATAAATACATATATTTGATATAGGAACAAAAATATAGAGCACAACAACGAAGGTTAGAAGCAGAGAATGATGCTGAAGGTTATAAGCAATAAGAATGATGTTATATAAGAATGATTGAAGAAAAGCCACGATTGAAAATAAGTATGAGTCATGGATTTAAGGATGAATCGTATATGTATTTGATAATTTGAACCTAATTGTTTGGTATTAATGTTTTCCTAATAAAATGAATTTTATATTAATGGTTTACTAATATAAACCGATTTATATTAATGGTTGATATTTAATGTTTTAATTTAAATGTTTTTTGTAATTTTGTAATTTTTTCTGAACCGATAATTTTAATCTCCTCCTAAGCGAACAACACATATTCCACATATGTCAACAAAGGGACTTGAACCTTCAACCTCAAAGATGGACGATACCACCTGATACCATTAGGCTACAAGCCCTTTGGTAATTGAAATGGTTTTTAGTAATATGTTTTTAAAATTCACCATATTAAAACATTTATAACCAGAAGTCCAAGATTTAAAATATGGAAAATTTTTATTGGAATTAAATACATTTAATTTCAACCGGTTTAAGTCAATTTTGTTTGATAATTGGAAAACTTTTATTGAAATTAAATATATTCCATTTAAAGGAGAAGATATTGTCATCAATTTGATTTAATGGTGGAAAAATATGATTAAAACACAATCAATGATCGAAACTCTCTAAGATGATATTATAATATTTCTGTTTTAATATATATTAAAGATTATGGTGTAAATGAATAGTATAACATTTATACTAGTCCCTTACACTACAATAGTGAAACTTTCATTTATTTAATCACTTTTTATTTTATTCTATTATAGTTTATAATATATATTATAAATATATCCTAAAGATAATAATTATTTATTATAATATTATGTTATATATTAAACTGCAATAAATTCATCATAAATATATAAAAAATATATGTTTTTAATATAGTTTTCGTTTAAAAAAAAAAGAAACGTAAATAAAATAATATCTAATTCGTTATTTAAAAATATGCAGATAATTAACTTTACTATAATTTATTATAATATATTTTATAATTTTTTTATGTAAAAAAGATGTAAATAAATAAGTAAAAAATTAATAAGTTGAAGGGTGTTTTTTATAAGGGATAATGATTTGAAAGAGTAACGAACTTTCGATTTTTGTCACATTTAGTCACTAAACTTTTTTTCGTTATCTATTTGTCATTGAACTATTGAAACTATTCACACTTTACCCTTATGACCGGCGGGTAAAATGTGAACAATTTCAATAGTTCAATGGCAAATACATAACGAAAAAAGTTTAGTGACTAAATATGAACAAAATCGAAAGTTCGTTTCCCTCTAAAAAGTTCAATGATTAAATGTGAACAAACTTCCTCTTGTATTATGTTTTAGCAAAATATTTATTTTTGTTAAATTGTAGCAACATTTGTTGATGAAGAAATCAATGAAAAAAAAAACAAAACAAAACCCTGAAAATATATTAAAAAAAAAAACAAAAAACCAAAACCGAAATAAAAAACCAATGGTTTGACATTTTCCAAAATAAAAAATCAAAATTACCAATCTGATTTTGGTTTTACAAAAAAATGAACCATTCTCACTGGTGTGAATTATAACCATTGGTTTGGCATGCGAAATTTGTGACATCCCATGAATATGTAGTTACAACATCGTCTGAACTCGTAATTCATAGTAAGGGGTTAGAGTATCATCGCATGAATACGTAGTTACAACATCGCCTGAACTCGTAATTCATCACCTACAGGTTATGGGCCTGCTGGTGTTACCACTAGGTTGTCTAGAATAGTCCGTGATCGCCATCTATACACTGGTAGATGACTACATCGCCACATTTCTGGTTAAAGTTATGGTATCTCCTTTCATCCTACATCACATATTCATCATCATCTATTTACCTAATTATCATCACTTATCTCTCATCATTTTATTTCATCACACACCAACTATTCCATCTACCCATGTTTCATCCGCAACATATTTGTAGATATAAAATAAATATACTGTTTAAATCTTTTAAAGCATGTATAAAATCGTTCATCCAGCATAGACAACAAGTATTAAAATAATATGCACACATAGCACATAATTTATATAAAATACTTCATATCTATGTGTAAGATGAAAGTAACTATATATACCATAAAAATCCAATAAATGTTTCCTAACTTCGAACCCCAAGGTTTACTCTACTAAAGCTTCATATTCTCGGCTCTCTGGACCTAGAAAGGTCCAAATCTATCACACCAAAAAGCTCAAGATAGCTCTTCCTCTCACTCTACATACTCAAGCTCGCTAGGGTTCTCACTTATGGGAAAGGTAGTCGCAATTGAAGGCCATAAGTGCCTTTAAATATGGCTCGGGCCCAAAGATTTAGGGTTTCTGCCAACAGCACGGACTCGTCGAGTTGCCTTACCGACTCGTCGAGTCCATTCATTAATCCGAATCATTATTCGCGACCTTACTCGACAAGTTGAGGCGTCAACTCGTCGAACCTCTCTTCTTAACTCAAAAGAAAAATACTTAAATTATGATACCTGGAAATCCGGATGTTACATTTTGTTTTTTATTTCATAGATTTCTTCATCAACAAATGTTGCTACAATTAAACAAAAATAAATAATTTTGCTAAAACATAATACAATATGAAGTTTGTTCACATTTAGTCATTGAACTTTTTATAGGGAAACGAACTTTCGATTTTGTTCACATTTAGTCACTAAACTTTTTTTCGTTATCTATTTGCCACTAAACTATTGAAATGTTCACATTTTACCCGTATGACCGGTAACAGCTGGTCATAAGGATAAAATGTGAACAGTTTCAATAGTTTAATGACAAATAGATAACGGAAAAAAGTTTAGTGACTAAATGTGACAAAAGTCGAAAGTTTGTTACCCTTTCAAGTCATTATCCCTTTTTATAATCTATACAAGTTTAAAAGAAAAATATATTACATATATTTTTAAGTATACAAAATGATATTAAAAAGAATATATGGTTGAAGAAATATTATTTGTACCGTTTTTTTTTTAATCAATTTAGTATATGAAAATTGTTTAGGGTTGAAGATGGTTTTAGTTTTAAAAGATAGATTGAAATTGAATGTTGTAAGATAGTTCAGGGACTATGATTATAAATATATTCTTCCATAATGATGAATTCGTCGCTACTTTGGTTCTTTTCTTCACTTGTGAGTTGTTATCGAACCGACTTAACTCGCCTGCTTGGATTTGTCCGGACTTTTTAGGGTTTCTTCTCTTCCTTGTTGTGCCCTTCATTCAGAACCCTAATCGTTTGCCAGGTATTTGAGACATAGTTCAATAATTTATCATTGATTTTCTTTGCTCTGACATAATCATATTCTAAATGAACTGCAATCCTCTGATGAATTAGGGTTTGTATTTGGGTTCTCCCTAATTTTTACTGTTGATCTCTTTTTGTTGACCACTGAAGCTGTTTTTTTTGTGAAGATTACATGATTCTTGTATGTATTTCTGATTAACTGTCTTCGATTATTCCATCGAATGCAATTTTAGGGTTTTTGTGTTTATTATATATGTTAACATTGATTCCTTCTATCCCTGGGTTGTTAGAAGTACGATATTGATGCAAGACCCATTTTTAAAAAGAAAGATTTCGATCATACCATTGATATAGAACTAGAGTTTCGTGTTTTTTATCCTTGGTTCTTTTGATCATCTTGGCATCCCACAAGATAATTAGATAACTAAATACGATTGTTTTAAACAATCAAATCTCTCGACTCTCAAGCATGTTCTTCAATCAACTTATGTCAGTATTGACAACTCTCTCTCTCTCTCTCTCTCTCTCTCTCTCTGTATGTGTGTGTGTGTGTGAGAAGATGGAAGATGATAAAGCCACCACAGTTATCGTGACACTTACCAAAATTTCTCAGATATTTTTCTCATTTTGGGTATTTTATTTGTAGATGTTTAGCGATGTAAAACTATTATTTGTCGTCTGAATAATAAAGTTCATTATATTTCATCATGAACTTGATTATCATGTATCTTAGAGTAGTTTATACCATGACTCCATCTTTTAAAGCTATAGTCTCCTTTTGATCTTTATACAGATCTAAGCAATACTTGTGTTAAGAAAAGCTTCGGTTTCCATTTCACTTTACCAGAAAACTTTCATGTCTGACCTCGACCTCCAGATTCCCACTGCTTTTGGTAACTTCTTTCATCTCAACAAAATCTTACATTGTTGATACTGATTTTTCCAAATATTGAAGGCAAACTTTTAATCTTTATTTTTTTGTTTCAAAAGACCCGTTTGCTGAAGCTAATGCTGAGGACTCTGGTGCTGGATCAAAAGAATACGTTCATATTCGTGTTCAACAGAGAAATGGTAGAAAAAGCTTGACAACTGTTCAAGGTTTGAAAAAAGATTTTAGCTACAATAAGATTTTGAAGGACCTTAAAAAGGAGTTTTGCTGTAATGGCACTGTTGTTCAAGATCCTGAACTAGGCCAGGTTTTTTTTTTTTTTTTTTTAAATATTACAACCTTATTATTATTATTTTATTTTTGCTTTTAAATTTGGGTTTCTCACATTTTTTATGTTGTTTTGAAGGTCATTCAACTTCAAGGTGACCAGAGAAAGAACGTCTCTGCCTTTCTTACTCAGGTAACTTTTTCCAATGACCCTTTTACCCTTCCGTTTGTAAATGATGGGTAAATTAGTAAATAACAAGTGACTTTATTTAAGAATTGTTATAAATCCATTTTGTTTTATTTGATAGTTAAGCATTGTTTGTTTTGATTTTGGATAAATTTCAACTTTATCAAATATGTTGAGCTAAGAGGGATTTTGGCTATTAATTATATTGTAAAATGATTTAAAAAAGTATATATTGTTTATAAATGGATATGTGTTTGCTTTTGTGTAGGCAGGAATAGTGAAAAAGGATCATATCAAGATTCATGGATTTTAAGGAGTGTGGTGTGAGTGCTATGTTGGGCAATATAATCAAGTGTACTTGTTATGGATATGAAGAAGTTAACATGTTATCTTTGCTATTATATGGTGTGATTGCGAATCTAGTAATGACAAGATTATGAAAATGTTTTTTACATTCTGACATTAAGAATATAATAATAATGACTGAACAATGAAAAGATATTATCACATGCTGCTTTTTATATATATGTTTTTTTTATACAGTTATCAGATTTTGCTTTGAATATGAAGTGAAAAGAAATTGCTTGTTGTGAGAGAAGAATAAAATGTGATGCATGCTTATGTTTGTTCTTGGAACAATATGGAAGGTTGTTTGAAATTTATTTATTTAGTTTAATCTATTAAACCATATAGTCTTCGACCGTTTTTGCTTATTAAAGTTTAGAAGAATTTTGCTTACAAATCTGTTTGTTGCATTTAAGTATAAAGTACTGATGTCTTATTTTATATTGTTAAAAAATGCAAACATATTTAAAAGAAGAGAATGTTTTCTTAATCCACTTGTTTAAAAATGTTAAATTTGTTTTCGACCAATTTGCAGAAAATGATCGGACAACTAAATTATTTTACTGATTGTACTGTTTACTACGTATTTTTATGGTTAAAAGATGCGTAAAGATACAAATTAACATTATGAAAACAGCTACACATTTGTGATGAAAACAAATGAAGTATATGTGAAACTCGTCATATATGCAATGGATTTTGTCTGTATAACTAAAACAAGCATTTTGCTTGATTATCTTAAAGCAACATAAGTATGAAGTTGATTAAGAAACATTACAACTTTTTATGCTTGATTATCTTAAAGCAACATAACTATGAAGTTGATTAAGAAACATTACAACTTTTTTCGAATAACGAGGTTAAATGCTTTACAATCCAAGTTTGTGGACACATTGAAAACCTTGGGTCCATCTAATTCGCTGCAAACATTACAGCTACGTGGATCAGGTATACAATCCCCGAAGGCATACACTATACAAGTTATAAGTCAATACTAAAGTTTAGGTAAGAATAGATAATTAAGAAAGAAGACTCCTACCATTTTGACCAATGCTTAGGGATGACAGTAGAACAGGTGTGTAATGTATTACTATTAGTGACTGGGATCATCTGGTTATATAATTGCATCCCAAGCATGGTCATGTTTCGACAGGTACCTCATCTTGTTTGTGGGGTTCAACAACGGGTATCAGAGTCTATAATCTTAAAACATTAAGGATGAATTTGGTTGTTGAATTTTTCCATTTTTTATGAAAATTTTCAAATTGTATGTAAATTATAAAAGTGATTTTTACAATTTTTTAAAGTAATCTAAATTTTTAAAATGGAAATGAAAACTCCACCAGTTTCGACTAAACATATTTTCTAAAATTTTCATTAAATTTTGAAAGTGAAAACACAACTTTATTTTTTGAAAATGTTTTTTAAAAAAATAAAAACATGTTTCCACAACCAAAAGTTACATGTTGGAATTTTCATTACTGAAAACCATAGCACAATCTCATCTAAAAGATCTCTTAATATTTTTTTTTATTTCTAATTTCTAACAAAATTATGCTAAGAAATTTTATGTAAAGTAAATCATACAAATGGTCCTTATGATTTGGGATAATTTATTTGCGTGTCTCTAACTTTATTTTTTTCATTCGGAAAATCCTTATAGTTTGGTTTTGTTTTGAATTTGGTCTCTAATAAAAGTAAAAAGACTGATATTCCCTTCGTTAATTTATTTCGCCTTTTTATATTATTAATTAAATAAAAAATGTCGATAAATATGTTAAAAAAAAGTTTTAGTTAAATATATGGATTTTTTAAATTGGAAAAACCTAGACCACCCCACCATTCCTCCCCCTTTGTGTTAAGCCATCAGAAAAGCACTTTCGACAACTATCACCACTAACCTTTGGTGACCACAACTGCTACCACTGTCACCAGAAAAAACACCATCGATGTTCAAATAAAAAAATGCTAACCCATAAATCCATTCAAAAAATCAAATTCAAAAATCAAACACTTAACATAAAATAAACATTAACACAGACACATTGTTACAAATGTCCCAGATATTATTTCATTCTAAGTTTTACGGTTTTGATGTTGGAACTCAACGAGTTGGAAACCCCGACTCATCGAGTAGAGAACATTTCGAGGATGCGGGATCTAGGCCCTACTCGACGAGTTGGAAGGCCAACTCGATGAGTAGGTACTGTAAAGGAAAAACCCTAATTTTAGGGTTGCACCTTATATAATCTCCTTAAGAACCTTAAGGCTGACCTTCTATCAGCCTCCAAACCCTAAGAACGTCTTTGCTAAACCCTAATCCCCATTCTCTTTCATTTTATGAGCTAGAGTGACTTGTGGAGCTTGAAAAGAATGAGATAGTGAGAAGAAGAAGAAGAAGATCCAGCAAACCAAACCCTCACTCTTGAGCTTGACCATCTTGTGGACTGTGGTAAGCCTTCAAGATTTGATTTTTATCTTAGAATATGGCTAGATCTTGAGTTTACTCTTCATTTCCTATCATTCCTATTTATTGCATGCATGGGGTTCATAAAGTTTGTAACTTTATGGATCTCCAGGGCAAAATAGTCCAAAGGTGGGGTAGATCTAGCTTTTGATCAAGAAAGGATGCCATGCAAGGGTTTTTAGAGTATATTTCCCCTTTTGGGCCATTTTGACTTAAAGACATGTATTGGACATGCATGTCCATAAAGCCTCCATCTTCGGAACATTTTGAGGACTAGAAACTCCTCTGGAAAGGAGGGATTCCAGATCCCTAAAGTGTTGGGAATGCATGGCAAGACTTTTGAGCTTTCCAACCTTGGATAAGGACCTTAGAGCATTCAGAGTGGTTATAGAGGGTAAACTTGGAAACTTTATCCCTTTGGACGCCTTAGGGTTTCATATATAAGCCCTGGAGTCCCTGCATTAGGTGAATCATCATAATAAGATAACAGGGAGGGGGAATCGACGAATCGGATTGGGTTTCCCTGTCTACTGGATAGCAACTGGACTCGTTGAGTTGATGAAACAATTCGACGAGTTGGTTAGGATTTGTTCAAGTTTTCTGGACTCCGAAGGAACTCGACGAGCTGCTAGATGCATTTGATGAGTTGGGGTCAACATGGACTGTTGACCTTGACTTTGACCAGAGTTGACTTTGAGGGTAATTATGGGATTATGACAAGTTAATCTTATGATGCTTATAGGAAGTTGAGTTGGAGGTGCGAGTTGGGACTTATTCAATCTTATGTTGTCAGCACAACATTCGTGAGAGGTGAGTCTTCTTACTATACCAATGGGTCTAAGGCACTAAGTCCAGCCCATTTTATGATATGTGGTACACTAGCCAAGGTTATATTCAAGGAGTGATAGTTGATTATGTGCTAGGAAGTATGCTAGTTGTATATGCGTTATGTTTGTATGGAAGACCATGGGAGAGCCCATGTTGCCCGGTGTAAGACCATGTGGAGAGCCCATGACTTTCTTACTAAAGACAATGGGAGAGCCCATGACAACTGGATGTAAGACCATGTGGAGAGCCCATGGCTTTCCTATTAAAGACAATGGAGATCCCATGGCATTTAGGTGTAAGACCATGTGGGGAGCCCATGACATCCTGGAGTAAGACCTTGGGGACGAGCCCACGACATCCGTATATGTTGTATGCATGGATTATGTGATGTGTGTGGATTTTATGGATAATATGATATGTGTTATGTGGATTGTATGTGCGATATACTCTACGGAACTCACTAAGCATTAGCTTACAGTGTAGATTTGTTTGAGGTACATCTAAGCCCAAAGGTAAGGGCAAGGCTTGATGGCGCGACGTGCACTCTCTTAGGCGTTTTCTTATGAGACACTCTGATGATTTGAAATAAAATTGTATCTAATATGAATTTTGAAAACAATTTTATTTGGGATTTCATGTTTTGTGGACAATATCTTAGTTAATCAAAAATGAAAATTTTCCTTTGAAAATTAGGTAGTTACAAGTTGGTATCAGAGCCTTAGTTTGAGGGATTCGAGCACACCCTCGGGTGTGCCAGACTTAAACTGAGGAAATGGTAAAACTGTTCTCAAAATAATAAATAAAAGTTAGAACCTTTAAAGTATGGAAAAAAGGAGAGTGCAATGCGCATGATCAACCGAGCCAACTAAGTGTTTCCCCAATATGTTAGCCATGTATACTGATATGTGAGTTATGATAATTGTATGAATCTTGCTACATGTATGCTTTCTAAATTGTATACGGTTAGGGTCTTATAGCCTCAAAATGATTGATTTGGCCTTATTTTATGTTCCTTGTTTGGTTGTGGTCTTAGGGTAAAGTCTATTATTCGAAAGTCTATTTGATCCCTTTCTGTGTATAATTTGCATGTATAAGACAACCTGTTATGATTGATATGGGTAGAGAAAATCTTGGGACATCCTAGGATTTGAGCTATACAGTAGCCTATGAGATATCGTTTGTTTTGGGATGAATTGGAGTTCTCAAGTATAGCCTTGGAAAAGGTATAAGTTGGTGTGGAAGGTAGTATTGGGCATGTACTACTGAAAGCACAGTACCTGTACCCAAACTAATGTTAGACCTGGAAACTCTAAGGAGGACCGGTGTGGGAGGATCCCCTCTACTGACATCCTGATCATTATATTTTGTGATATTTGTAACAACCCAAATTTTCAATAAAAATTTTCATTTAAATTAATAAACACAATTGCATAAAACCATGAGATCCCACATTTAGTTTTAAAACATCATCCATTACATTATATAAATCAACAGAGTGTCCCCAAACATATTAGTGAAAGAGAGATAGAGTGCACGCCACGCCATCACGCCTTGCCCTTGCCCTTGGGCTCCGATGTACCTGAAACAAATAAACAACTTGTAAGTGAAACGCTTAGTGAGTTCCCTAGAGCATACCACACACCACGCATACACATATCCTAGTTGCTAATCAAGCTACCCACATATCACATAAGCCATGCATACATAAAACTAGCAAGAATGCCATGGGCTACCCCACATGGTCTTTACCTAGGACTGCCATGGGCTACCCAACATAGTCTTATATCCAATGACATGGGCTACCCAACATGATATTTACCTATGATTCCTATGGGCTACCATACATGGTCTTACATATAATGTCATGGGCTACCCCACATGGTCTTTACCTAGGACTACCAT